TTTAAAGCAAAAAGTCACAAAAAATAATCAACAAATGAAAAAGGATCGAACTGAAACCTATATAATCTAATTATATATTATAATTTATAAATAAGGGCCGCAAAATCTGATTAAATAGTATATGTCACGAAGAAAACTTTAACCCAACCATGGTAATTACAAGAAATTCAAATAAAGAACATTTAAAAAAAAAAAAAAAATTATACAGATAGTATATTATATATTGTTATAGTAAATATAATATAAAAAATTGGCTACGAAGTAATGTACCAAATAATATGGCCTATTATATAAAAAAAAGAAAGAATTAAATCAAAAGTAAAATGCTTGCAAAAGAAAAAAATAAAAAAAAAGAAACAGTAATCTATTTATGGTCACATAAATGGCGTTCTAAATAACCGGAATTACTATTTCCTTCAAATAATGAACAAAAAAAAAATTTGTTCTGTTTAGATATATTCATCTAACAAAAAAAAAAAATAATTATTTTTGTATTATATATATATAGCAGTTTTTATTCATAATATATATTTTTTTCTTAGCTTTTTAATTGATAAGTTTGGGTTGTAAGTTTTGAAATGGCATTATTAAAGTATTCCTTTTTTTTTGTGCGAAAACATCTATGTCAAATTTTATTTTAAATGTATTTTTAGAACAAATATAAAAGGAATAATGAACAGTAACATAAAATATATATAAATCTTCTTAGAAAACAGTGTGATAAAAAGACATAGGTTTAGGGTTCAGGGTTTAGGGTTCAGGGTTTAGGGTTTTAGGGTTAAGGGTTTAGGGTTTTAGGGTTTAGGGTTCAGGGTTCTAGGTTTAATGTTCAGGGTTTAGGATTCAGGGTTTAGGGTTCTAGGTTTAGTGTTCAGGGTTTAGGGTTCAGGGTTTAGAGTTCAGGGTTTAGTGTTAATGTGTCATGGTTGCGACGGTTAGAATTCCGAACTCAAGGTTCACGGTTTAAGTATGCCCGTTCGTCATTGTAGGCAGCTTAAAGTGTTTAGGATTTAGAGTGTGTGTTTTTGTTGTTTTTGTTTTAATTTTTTTTTTTATCGTTAAATCGTAACTTCCAAATAGTGTTCAGTTGCTGCATATAGTCCCCTGACCTCTTTTGTTTAAGGGGAAGATGTACGCGAGGAAAGACGCTAGTTCGTCCATTTTTCACTCGGTGTATTGTGTGTTGTGCGTGTGTGAGTCCTTACTTTCCATAGGAAGAACGCAATGACCCCAATACCAACCACCGCGGGAATGATCGCGGGGGTGTACGACTTGACATCTTCCCACGTGAGGCCGGGCCAGAAGGTGCCTTGGTCATTCATTAGTTCTTTCTTGTCTTCTGTTTTTGTTAAACCACTTCCAGTATCTTCCTTTGGTGCAGCTCTTGGTCCTTCCTGACTACCTCCAGGTTGAGCTTGTCCTGTGGTTCCAGTACCAGCGGAACCTGGTCCTGAGGAACCTGGGTCAACAGTCCCAGTGGAGCCGGGTCCGGATGAACCAGGGTGTTGGGCCCCAGTAGAACCAGGTCCAGAGGAACCTCCTCTGTCGCCACCACCACCAACTTCGGCACCTCTCCCACTTGCACCTCCCTTTGCTTTCCCACCAGAAACACCATCTGCTACACTTCCCCCGCC